TAAAATTACATTTAAATTTACCGACAAAAAGTTTAATAAAATTCTTAATAAAAAGTCTTACAATTTGATGGTTTTCATTTATTTTTACCACAGCTGGATATTCAAATTTGACCGACAATAACAGTATTACTATAATCTTAAACCTGTATTAAATAGATTATATTAACATTATTTCAGTTTTTTAAATTTATTTACTATTGTTACAACTTACATTTGTTCTAGATCCGTTTGCCTTACACCTCATTTCTACTTTTTTCGATTGTTCTTTTTATCAGTTAGATACACCCCTTTTTCTATGAATCTTAGCCATGATTGGTGCATTTCTCTACCAGTATTACTGTTTATTCTCTTATTTTGTCTTATTATATTAATATGTTTATAATTATTCTTTTCTTTTTTCTTTTATTTTAACTGAATTCAATACTATTTCACAACCTGTGGTATTACAATGCTCCGCTACTACTGAATTTGCATAATTTCTCTTGATTGCTCTGATGTGTTCATTTATTCTTATTTTTAATTTTCTTTTTGTTTCTCCTATATATATTTTTTCTGGTTTACAACTACAATTAAATGAATATACAACTCCTTTTTCTTCTAATATATCATAATTTCCTTCATTTCTATAACATAAATGATTTTTTTGTTGTATTTACTTTTTCTGGTATTATATTAATTGTATTGTTTAATATTTTCTTAATTCTTTCAAATATCTTAGGGATATACCTTATTTTAACGAAACCTTTCTCTTTATCTATTAATCTTAATTTTTTATCTTTTTTCCAATTTTTTTATCCATTTATTCAGTAGGCTTTTTAGATAATCATTTAACATAAACATTTTTATTATTTCTTCTTCTTCTTCTTTCTCTTGAGTTTTAATTTCACTAGTTTGTTGTCTAATTTTATTTATATACATTTTAAATATATTATATTTCATACTTATTGGTGTAACTGATTTATAATTAATTGTTTTTGGTATTTGTATAGGTTTCACATATTTTTTATAAATTAATTGATCTTCTTTTCTCTCTATAGTTATATCTAGATAATTAATACTATTTTGTTTTTCTATTTCTATTTCAAATTTAATATTTTCTTTTATATCATTAGCTTCCTTTATAATTATTTGTTCATTTGTTTTTCTTGTATCATATATTATAATACAGTCATCTACATACCTGTTATAAAATTCTATGCCTTCTATGTCTTTAATTTTTTCATCTATTTGTATCATTAATATTTCAGCCAATCTTGGGCCTATGCAAGTACCCATAGGTATTCCATTATCCTGGGTATAGAATTTATTTCCAAACTGAAAATAGTTATTTTTAATTATAATTAAACATAATTTAATTATCCAACTAGGTGTTTTGATTCTTAATAATGAATTTTCTATATCTTCTATTGTGATACTAGGATACATATTTACTATATCAAGAGATATTAATTTCATATATTTATTAATTGTAACATTTTTTAATCTTGTTAACAATTCATCTACATTTTTAATACTATAATTAGATATTTCTAATAGGTTTAGTTTATCTTTTAAAAATTTTTCTAGATTATAATATAAATAATTTCTAATATCTATTAATGGTCTATATTTTAAAGGATTTTTATGTGTTTTTACCCTTATGTTAAATTTTGGTGTTCTATTAAATAATAGAATAAATAGTAATACTGGTAGAGAAATGCACCAATCATGGCTAAGATTCATAGAAAAAGGGGTGTATCTAACTGATAAAAAGAACAATCGAAAAAAGTAGAAATGAGGTGTAAGGCAAACGGATCTAGAACAAATGTAAGTTGTAACAATAGTAAATAAATTTAAAAAACTGAAATAATGTTAATATAATCTATTTAATACAGGTTTAAGATTATAGTAATACTGTTATTGTCGGTCAAATTTGAATATCCAGCTGTGGTAAAAATAAATGAAAACCTTCAAATTGTAAGACTTTTTATTAAGAATTTTATTAAACTTTTTGTCGGTAAATTTAAATGTAATTTTAAATACTTATTTTATTGTTATAGAATATACAAAAATACCTGCTGAGGAGGGACAAGAGTGTCTGAAACGCAAAACTATGTATGTGTCCAGGTATATTAAGTAAAATAAAAAATGTTTTTCTGTAAACTTTGTAATATTTTCTGTAATGCCAGTATAATAAGTCCTGGTAATAGAAGATACAATATTATAGACGAAAATTTATATTTTAGTAAGAATAAAGGACATTGAGGCATTTTAATTCACCAAATACACCTTCATACTATCTCCCATGACCTGTGCTACTGCACAAGCTGGGGATGAGAGGTCTTGTATATCCAAAACTGCCCACTTTGTGTTATAAATAATAACAGCAGCCCAGGGTTGCATCTGGGCGCACTGGAAGTGGATGGTCTTAACCTTAATTTCAAACCCAAGCACCTTACCTGGAGCTGCATATGGTTCTTGAACCAGGGATATATCGACCCCATATTGAGTCACCACTTTACTAAGCTCTCCTGGGACAGGTCGACTCCAATCCATATTTATTTGAGCCATTTTTATAATAATATTTTTAAGACTACTGTCCATAATCAATTTTAGATAGATACCTTTCCAAGTATGGACCATCTTATATGAGAGAGAATCCTTGTCCCTTAATTTGTGTTTATGGGGTTTCCACATTTGCTTGCATGTTATACATGCTTTCTCTGACACCTCTGTTTTGCAATCCGGACCCTTATGTCCAGACTTACCACACATACTGCAGATTAAATCTGCTGCATCGCAGTGCTTTGCCACATGTCCAAACTTTTGACATTTATAACGCAGGGTGACCTCATGGTAATCCCTGACCACACAATTTCTATAACCAATATAAACTCTTCCACTATTGATTAGTCTTACTCTCATGCTGGGTGTAACTTCGGCTACCCAGTCTGTCAAGCCTTCTCTTTTATGGCCTGTACGGTAAACCAACCTTAACTCACCTTTTAATTTATCAGTTGACACATCTTCCCCAAAAAGAGTGTCACTATTTAAATCACCAATATTATCCATCACTTCTTCCATAGTCATACTCTTCGGTACATCTTTTATCACCATTCTCGGCCGCCTTTTGGTTGGTTGTTCTATTATTAAGTCACCACCAGTTATATTTTTATTATTTAAGACCTTATCAAGGTCACCCTTACTATCTAAAGTTACTACTGTACCATTGGTACGCATCTTACGGATGCTGCCAATTCTTACTTTATCCTTTCTTGGGTTATATTTTTAAGAAAACCTTTTATAATCTCACTGTTCATATCATTGTTTTTACCCTTTACCAATAATACAGCTTCATCTTTGCCACCATAACCACCTTTAATAGGTCCCTGAGTCTTACCTGTGATAGAGACATTAGCTCTAGCCACTTGAGAGAAACTAGGCTTTACCTTATAATCTTTCTCCAGCTCTACTTTTACCTCTTTAACAGTTCTTATTTGTGCTTTTAGCACTTTTTCTATAACAAGCCCATGCACTATTTTTTGTGCTTCAGTCATGTACTCAATTATTTTACTTGCCATAACACTAGTGATTCTGCTACTTTTTATCGTAGCACAACTTACTTAACTCTAGCATCATTTGATGCATTCTGTCATTTTCATTCATACCTTCACCAGATATTCGTCTATTACTATTTTCAATATTATCAATGCCTTCTATGACTGAGTCCGAAGTTCTATGGCCCACCAACCTTCCTCCGTCTCCTCCTGACACCTGCTTACTTGAATTTTTTGTTTAATTTATCCATTCATGTGGATGTACTACCTACAACGGGGATTCGCCAGGTCACCCGAGGGGATCGTTTGCGACACCAAGATTTGTTAGTTGCCTAGGTGCCATCCAGCTCTCAGCACGATACCTTCCACCTTAGCTTAAACGACCACTGCTGTACCCTTAACTTCCCCTGACTACCCCAGAGGCATGAGCTTTGGCTATACCCCTGGTAATGCCAAAATACTAAGCCCCCCGCCACGACTAGGCAGGCATAGTCAACGATTATATTGGGGGTTAAATAATAAAAGTTAATATATGAAAGTAAAGATATTACTTTTACTATGTTTGTAATTATAGTACAGAAAAAACTTGTAGAATATAATCATTGTCTTTATAACTTCGATAGTACCGTCAGCATAAAAACTTCACTAGCTGGACCTCCACCGCAATCCAGACGCAAATGCAAATAGGTCACGTGATTAAAAGTTTTTACACTAGTGGAGTCTTGGCCTAAAATTTGATAATGAAAAAATTGCACAGAAGCAAAGTAATTAAATCTATTGTGTGTTACAAAATCAACTATGATTTTGTACCACACAATAATTTGACTGTAATTTGAAACACTAATCAAATTACAGGGTGGACTACAGAAAATGCAAGCCATTATTAAAAAAATTGAATCTTTGAACAAAGTTTGTGGATGTGGCACTTACTTTGCACCAAGCAGGATATAGTATTTACAAACCCTCAAAATAAATAAAAAATTTGTTATCAGAATTTAAAAAAAAAATGGTAATACACTACCTTTCCATACAGTCATATTCTTATATACAGAAAGAGGTTGAAACCTTCAAATGTGTGAACTGAGTTTGTTGGCTCTCAAAAAAAACTGAGTGGTGTCAGTCATGCTAACATAATTAAATGGGTTCATTCAACTACAATTTATTCAGAAAATCCACACAAATGTACAGTATACACCAGGAAAAAAAATTTCGGATAATCTGAAACGTTTGCTAGTTTGAACACGTTTGGACCCCTATTTAGATTTGCAAGGATTTTCTGTAGAAATTTTTCATAATGTTTAACTCTAACTTTTATATAATATGCATTTTAAATTATTTTAGAAATTTCTGAAGTTACATTATTTTTTGCTTCTTTATTTCAAATTAAATTAATTTAATAATTTATAAGGTTAGTTTTTTCATTTATAAGAAAATTTATATCATTAATACCTAAACTTTAACAAGGGGATACAACTAGAGTTGCTACTGGAGCTGCAGATAATACCTGTAGAATATGGGATTGTGAGAGAGGTGAGAACTTTATCTTTTTATTCTTAAATTAATAAATTGTGTTTTATAATTTTAAATAATTGAGGTACTATCCAAAATTAATCAATAAATAAAATTACATTACACGTAGATTTTGTTCACTACTGTCACGTCACCTTCACATTAATCCTCTTGAGAGTGTGCACAATGATTCCATTGCTTCTGCACAAACAGAATGCATACTGGAAGTCCTTTTTTGATGACTGTGTTTAATACTGTCTGTGATTCAACTTCACCCTCCTCTGTTATTTCAAATTTTTATCCCTTTAACTTTATTTTCCTTTTAGAAACAGAAAGCAAGGAGTTAAATTGGACAAGTATGGTGAAATTGTTTTTAGCCAAAAACATTTGCACAGTTAAAGTTGTGTGTGGTTTAGTGTTGTGTTTATGCAGAACCCAGTTTTTATTGCACTATTTTTTGGCTATGTTTTCCTTCAGCTGCCCTAAGATTTTACAATAGAATTCTACAATCACTTTCTGACCTGGAGGGATGAACTTTACGAATAATTCTTTCAATAAAGAAAGATCATAGATTTGACAATACTCTTGATTTTCAGGCTTTCTTTGACCTAGCCTTTCTGATAAAGAAAATATCTTAATAATTCCAGTCAGGCATACTTCCTCCATAAGAATGCTCTACACCTAAAAATGGAAGTGGAGGTTTTGTAACAAAAAAAGTCAACAAAGAAAATGATTATTACAATAAGAGATGCGCAGAATTATCACTATTAATTTTTAATTTTTGTTTGTTTCATGTCGTCAACTCTCTCCTTCCCATATGAACAAACAAAAATTATACCATTAATAAATAAATCATCAATAACTTATTGACAATGTATAAACAAAAATAAAATTCTATTAACATATAATACTCAACACTATTTCAAGGGATATGTTTCCATTCTACATATTTACCTCGTATTAAAGAATAATTTTTCAATCCTGATTCATTAGTACAGTAACTGTTCTTTTTGGTGGATATTAGTTTTGTCAAATAATTGGCCACTATCTCCTCAGTAAATACATGCTGTATTGTAAATTTTTTTCTTCTATCTCTTTTTAGATAAACTATGTATTTTAATTCATTATGTTTGGTTCTTCTGTGATTACTAGGATTCTTCATCAATGATAGTGATGAGAGGTTATCGTAGTACATTGGTGTAGCTTTTTTTAAATGTCATTCAAATTGCATCATTTCTAATAATTTACATAACCACTTAGCTTCCTTTACAACCTTGTAGGTAGCAATGAGTTCTGCTTTACAAGTTGAAAGACTTATGTTTCTTCGTTGACTTCCGTCTTATTGCTTCTGCTAATCTAAATTATAACCTGTTATAAATTTATATTACATGCCCTAGAATTCCAACTAGTATCAGTAAACCCATGTAACTTGTCTTCACAGATTTTGTAATGGAGACTTAACTCTTTTGCACCTTTCAAATATTGCAATATGCACTTAGCCACTGTCCATGCATACCACTCACCCTCATTATCGTAGTAGAGAGAGAAACTGACATGACCCAAATTCAAGGTACTGCACTAGTTCATGTTCTTGACAAAGAAGTCTCAGTCTTTCAGTCAACAGGTATATCGTTACTACCACGATAAATTTGAACCAGCTGCTAGGAGATGTTGCTCGCTGTTTCTTTGACCAAATTGCTGATCAGGGAAATGAGTGCAGCCAGCTGAAGTTACTGCCTGTGGATTCAGCCTGGCTCCAAAGTATAGCTGTTTATTTGTGCATAATAACAAAACCGGTCTAAATTTTTTTAAATTGATTCTGGAGCAGATTTGTCAATCATTTCTAACCATATTAAGGATCGGCCTACAAAGTTTGAATTATATACTGCCAACAATTCTAAAATCTCAACATATGGAATGAAAGTGTTAGGACTTGACCTCAACTTAAGATGTTTTTTCAAATGGCAATTCACCAAAGCTGATGTGCAGAAGCCTATAATCAGTGCAGACTTTTTGGCCTACTTTGGACTAATTTTCGACATCAGAAACAGATTACTGGTTGACATCTCTAACTACATGGGGAAGATATTATACAGGACCACCTACTTCAGTCAAAACTCTAATCAGGGTACATTGTTTACTACACCCTGGTGTTGTGGGTTGTTGTTCAGTAATTCTCCAATGCAGGATATCCTCAAGGACTTTCCACATCTCACTTGTCCTCAGCCTTTTTCAGACAAGGTCAGGCACAACACAGTGCATTATATCGAGACAAACAGTCCACCTGTATTTGCTAAATCTCGTAGATTACTCCCATCTCAACTGCAAGTAGCAAAGCAAGAATTCCAGCACATGATGGAACTACGTATATGCAGACCATCAAAGTCCAACTGGGCTTCTCCCCTCCATATGGTGCAGAAGGGCCATAATGATTGGAGACCTACTTTATCTATTTATTTATTAAAAAGGAGTAGAGAGGTTGTCTGTTTAGAAACTGACTTTACCTCTATGGAAGTAGTAGTAGTGAAGTGGAAATAAAAAGAGGAATAGATAGTGTTTAGGAAGGGAAAGTAGATAGGGAAAGATTGAAGTGCCTGCATTGCCTTTGAAAATACAAGTACAAATAGGAATACACAGGTAAAATTTACATAAATGTATAAAGCTATACAAAATACAGTAAAGGTGCGAGAAACATTGAATATACGTGGGGGACCCAAAAATAATTGGATTTTTTGTATAAAAACTTTATTTATTAACTATTACAAAATTCCTTCAGTCACCTTTAAAGTACTCTCCATTAGATGCGATGCACTTGTCAAATCTTTTTCCCCACTGTTTGAAGCATCTCTGGAACTCTTCAACCTTGATATCATCCAGTACCCTTAGCGAAGCTGTTTTTATCGCCTCCACATCATCAAAACGCTTCCCTTTTAGATTTTTCTTCATTCTCAGAAACAGAAAAAAGTCGCACAGGGCTAGGTCTGGTGAATATGGTGGGTGGGGAACGACAGGCCATCTTCGAGAGGTCAAATAGTGAGTCACTTGTAATGCCGTGTGTGCGGGGACATTGTCGTGATGAAGAAATCAGTCACCTGATCACCAAAGTTCCTGGTGTTTCCTTTGCACGTCCTCTTGCAGACGTCTTAACACTTTTTGGTGGATTTTTTCAATGTTTTCATCGTTTCGAGATGTTGAAGGATGCCCAGAACTTCGCAGGCGGAACAAAATAACAGTAAGAGAAACCCAACACTACACTCAAATGTAAACCTACAAACTGACACCATTTGCACAGCTGTTTTGTGAAGGTTTCTACTAACCCCATGTAACGGGAGAACTCTACTATGTCTACGAATGGCAGCATGCTTTCAGTTCGGTTTTTTGGGTCTTCCCTTGTACAGTATACAATGGTAAAAACTAATATATAGTTGTACAGTACTAGTGACACCACAGTACATGAATAAATGTACTGTGGCATTACCTACAGATGATACACACGAATTGGAACAATACTGCTAAATTATTACATAAAATTGAACAGTACAGAATAGCTTATATGATAGTATTGTGTATTTATCGCTTTCTGCAAAGATTGTAGCAGTGGATATGTACAGTACATGAGAAGACAAAAGATAACAAAATACCAATTGAAGTTTGGACAAAACGTGACCATGGTAATATATACATTAAAAACTTGATCCAGTGATTGATTACAGACAGCAACCAAAGCCAATATATACAGTCAATCCTCCTATAACACGGTAGATATGTTCTGTTCTTTATGAAATTCATGTTTTACGAGTCCTTAAATACATGAGCCAATCACAGCCCAGCACGTGTGCAGTTTATGGACTATGGCTGTTTGAAAGGTTTTCTTCCATAAAATTAATCGATTCTAGACTAATTTGACTCAACATTTCCAAAACATGTATAATTTTTTGGGAATAATCCATATAAACTATGCTATAAACCAGGGCTTCTTAAACTTTTTTTATTCAAGACCCCATTTATAATTGTGATTTTTTTCGCAACCCAAAAAATATAAAATAAAGATAGATACAAATATGCAAAAACAATAATGGTGTACTACCACAGTTCACTCTTGTGTTACCATGGAACAGAGACAACCGAATACACTGAAAAGCGACAACACTACACTAGTTCACACTACAGTGTTGCTAAATTGTTATCTTGCTGCACCAGAAGTGACACAAAGCGCAACTCACGAAACGTATGACACAAAGTGTGCCATTTTCAAACTCTCACAAATTATTTTCAATATTTTGCATTAAAATCTCTCGATCCCAAGATTTTGCTAAGCAACCCCAAATGGGGTCACGACCTATAGTTTAAGAAACCATGCTATAAACAAAAAATTGTAGGATTACTTACCGAACCCGGAGTTACACGATTTTCAAATCTTGTTGATTCATTGCGAATGTGTCTCTTTAATCCGATCAATTCAGTTCGAACTATCATATACAGCTTTCAGGTTAGGTAGTTCTTTTATTGGTTTGTCATATCCATTTTGGACTTATTTGTATTTTAAGTCCCTCTTCAGTTCAAATCTACAAATTATTTAAAAAAAAAAAAACAAATTTATATACACTTACTTAAAAACAAAAAGGTTATATACAATTAGTGAGATGACAAATTCTTCGCGTGTAGATTATATTTACTGACATAAAACTATTTTAAAAAAATTGTTACACTTATACGTTACCTAAGGTTCTGTTTTTTAAAAAACCTTTGGTGTATAACTGGTAACGTTGGAAAGAGTTTAAAAATACAGCCATTTAAAAACACTTCAAANCAACCTGTGGTATTACAATGCTCCGCTACTACTGAATTTGCATAATTTCTCTTGATTGCTCTGATGTGTTCATTTATTCTTATTTTTAATTTTCTTTTTGTTTCTCCTATATATATTTTTTCTGGTTTACAACTACAATTAAATGAATATACAACTCCTTTTTCTTCTAATATATCATAATTTCCTTCATTTCTATAACATAAATGATTTTTTTGTTGTATTTACTTTTTCTGGTATTATATTAATTGTATTGTTTAATATTTTCTTAATTCTTTCAAATATCTTAGGGATATACCTTATTTTNATTAACACTAATTGGGCAATAATGTGTGGCCGATTAATCGGTAATCGGCCATTTTGCTTATCGGTGCATCCTTAGTTTATACAACAGATAAAAAGAATCATATTACAGTATTAAACTACAAAAGAATTCTATGGACACTTTGTATATATTGTGTTACATGATATATTTTCTTTCTTATATTCAACTTCTGCCAAATTTAAAAATCTCGTGCTTGAGTTCCTCTTTGTGAATTGATATTTTTCATTTGATCTTTTATTATATAAAAATGAAATGTGTTATCCAAAATTACTTACTGTATTTTTGTGGAATGACTGGCATGCTGGTCTATCTGCAGGAGACCACAAAATCAGATATTTCTGTATGGTAAAAACTGGCATGCCTGTTTAAGTGAGGTTATAGATCCCTCTCTAGAGAGCATGTTAAAAAAATGAACAAGTTACGTCATGTAAAAATGAACAAATTTTTAGTCTAAAACTGTGAAACTATCAGCATTACATCAAAAACTATGATTATACATTTAATTTCTTTGTTTTTTCTTCTTTCTAATGATGTAAAATACTTGTGGAATTCCAAAAGTGCTTTTTTTGGTCTGTGTGTATTTTGTTGTTTGATTCAAAAATAAACATATTAAATGTAAGAAACTTGCTGTAAATTATCTCAGCTTACACTGATTAACATTGGCTTTGTGTGAAATTTGAGAGGAAGGGTAGATGGTTGGTGTAGCCCACAAGGACTAACTGCCACTGCCACCACTACCACCAAGTCGCTAATTGTTTATCATCTTATATACAAAAGGTCTTCCTGATCTTAAGTCAGTCAAATTACAATTAACAACTAGTTTTGTTAGATCTGATTAATTTAATGTTTCAGTTGCAGTTTAACTGGTATGCTGGTCTTACCTGTTTATATGCAGCATGCCAGTCATTCTGCAAAAATATGATAATATTAAAATTTTCATGCAGAATTATTCTAATTTTATATTTAATTAATGTCTAGTTTGTTCCCAATTTTTTGTGTTTTTGGTGATTAATTAAAGTAAATTATAGAAATGTAATTAATATCTGTGTTGGACCAGAATAAATTTTAATAGTAAAATTAAAAACATTTTGAGTTCATTTCTTCATTTCAGGAATTGAGATGGCTCAAATAGTGACAAAAACGGCCGTTAGAACTTGTGGATTTTCCTACAGTGGCAAATTATTGATGTACACTACGGATAAATCTATGGGCAAGCCATGCGAAATTAAAATCGTCGATATTTTTGACGAAAGTGACATTTCAGGTAAGTCATATGAAATCTATGAGGGTCGTCCCAGAAGTACCCGACCTGACATAGATGGCAGTACTTGTTTGAAAAAAATGACTGTGTTCAAATGTTTTAACCTTATAAAGCTTAAGTTTGAAGTTTGAAGACGTTACGTTGTATAGTACAGTGGGTGATTGGTTAACGAACATAATCCGTTCCAAGACTTTGTTTGCTATCCGAATTGTTCGTTAACCGATTATGAATTTACCATAGGTTTGTATGGGAATTTGATTAATTCGTTCTGGAGACACCCCAAAATAAAAAATATATACTTTTTTACTACGTTTATTTATATGTAATAATAAAAATACATATATACACAGACATGCATTTTTATTAGTTATGGTTTTTTGTTTGTGGAGGTTAAATAATCTGTCTAATGTCGATTGCTTTTCTCTCTTCTTCGGGATTTTTCAGAAGTAATTAATAGCATTGTAATTGTAGAGATCCCCAAGCCTATTAACCTCAACCTGGTTTGTATGCCATTCTAAGACCGTTGATCTGACATCCCCCATTTCTTCAAAAGATCTTTAATTAATAGCAGATATCGGCATTAATCCTCTTTTTCAGAATAAAACATATCTTGCCGAGTTTCTTGGTGTTCTCTATTCAAGAGTTCTTGACGTTCTTCTGTCGTCAGATCCGTTTCAGGTTCCATTATGAGCTCTTCATTGTTCTTTATTTCTCAGATGTGATTTTTGTTA